CACACTTTGTACCACCAGATGGAGTGTGTAAGTCTCACCTAGAACCAGACTTTCTACCCCCAGATGTAGTGTGTAAGTTTCACCTGGAACCAGACTTTCTGCCCCCAGATGGAGTGTGTAAGTCTCACCTAGAACCAGACTTTGTACCACCAGATGGAGTGTGTAAGTCTCTCCTAGAACCAGACTTTGTACCACCAGATGGAGTGTGTAAGTCTCACCTGGAACCAGACTTTCTGCCCCCAGATGTAGTGTGTAAGTCTCACCTAGAACCAGACTTTGTACCACCAGATGGAGTGTGTAAGTCTCTCCTAGAACCAGACTTTGTACCACCAGATGGAGTGTGTAAGTCTCACCTGGAACCAGACTTTCTACCCCCAGATGGAGTGTGTAAGTCTCACCTAGAACCAGACTTTGTACCACCAGATGGAGTGTGTAAGTCTCTCCTAGAACCAGACTTTGTACCACCAGATGGAGTGTGTAAGTCTCACCTTGAACCAGACTTTGTACCCCCAGATGTAGTGTGTAAGTCTCACCTAGAACCAGACTTTGTACCCCCAGATGTAGTGTGTAAGTCTCACCTAGAACCAGACTTTCTACTCCCAGATGTAGTGTGTAAGTTTCACCTGGAACCAGACTTTCTGCCCCCAGATGGAGTGTGTAAGTCTCACCTAGAACCAGACTTTCTACCCCCAAATGTAGTGTGTAAGTCTCTCCTAGAACCAGACTTTGTACCACCAGATGGAGTGTGTAAGTCTCACCTGGAACCAGACTTTCTACCCCCAGATGTAGTGTGTAAGTTTCACCTGGAACCAGACTTTCTGCCCCCAGATGTAGTGTGTAAGTCTCACCTAGAACCAGACTTTGTACCACCAGATGGAGTGTGTAAGTCTCTCCTAGAACCAGACTTTGTACCACCAGATGGAGTGTGTAAGTCTCACCTGGAACCAGACTTTCTACCCCCAGATGGAGTGTGTAAGTCTCACCTGGAACCACACTTTGTACCACCAGATGGAGTGTGTAAGTCTCACCTAGAACCAGACTTTCTACCCCCAGATGTAGTGTGTAAGTTTCACCTGGAACCAGACTTTCTGCCCCCAGATGTAGTGTGTAAGTCTCACCTAGAACCAGACTTTGTACCACCAGATGGAGTGTGTAAGTCTCTCCTAGAACCAGACTTTGTACCACCAGATGGAGTGTGTAAGTCTCACCTGGAACCAGACTTTCTGCCCCCAGATGTAGTGTGTAAGTCTCACCTAGAACCAGACTTTGTACCACCAGATGGAGTGTGTAAGTCTCTCCTAGAACCAGACTTTGTACCACCAGATGGAGTGTGTAAGTCTCACCTGGAACCAGACTTTCTACCCCCAGATGGAGTGTGTAAGTCTCACCTGGAACCACACTTTGTACCCCCAGATGTAGTGTGTAAGAATCACCTGGAACCAGACTTTCTGCCCCCAGATGTAGTGTGTAAGTCTCACCTAGAACCAGACTTTGTACCACCAGATGGAGTGTGTAAGTCTCACCTAGAACCAGACTTTGTACCACCAGATGGAGTGTGTAAGAATCACCTGGAACCAGACTTTGTACCCCCAGATGTAGTGTGTAAGTCTCACCTGGAACCAGACTTTGTACCCCCAGATGGAGTGTGTAAGTCTCACCTGGAACCAAACTTTCTGCCCCCCAGATGTAGTGTGTAAGTCTCACCTAGAACCAGACTTTGTACCCCCCAGATGTAGTGTGTAAGTCTCACCTAGAAGCAGACTTTATACCCCCAGATGGAGTGTGTAAGTCTCACCTAGAACCAGACTTTATACCACCAGATGTAGTGTGTAAGTCTCACCTAGAACCAGACTTTGTACCACCAGATGGAGTGTGTAAGTCTCACCTAGAACCAGACTTTGTACCACCAGATGTAGTGTGTAAGTCTCACCTGGAACCAGACTTTGTACCACCAGATGGAGTGTGTAAGTCTCACCTAGAACCAGACTTTGTACCACCAGATGTAGTGTGTAAGTCTCACCTGGAACCAGACTTTGTACCACCAGATGTAGTGTGTAAGTCTCACCTAGAACCAGACTTTGTACCCCCAGATGTAGTGTGTAAGTCTCACCTAGAACCAGACTTTGTACCCCCCAGATGTAGTGTGTAAGTCTCACCTAGAACCAGACTTTCTACCCCCAGATGTAGTGTGTAAGTCTCACCTAGAACCAGACTTTATACCACCAGATGGAGTGTGTAAGTCTCACCTGGAACCAGACTTTGTACCCCCAGATGGAGTGTGTAAGTCTCACCTGGAACCAGACTTTGTACCCCCAGATGGAGTGTGCAAGTCTCACCTAGAACCAGACTTTGTACCCCCAGATGGAGTGTGTAAGTCTCACCTGGAACCAGACTTTGTACCACCAGATGGAGTGTGTAAGTCTCACCTAGAACCAGACTTTGTACCACCAGATGGAGTGTGTAAGTCTCACCTAGAACCAGACTTTGTACCCCCAGATGGAGTGTGTAAGTCTCACCTGGAACCAGACTTTGTACCACCAGATGGAGTGTGTAAGTCTCACCTAGAACCAGACTTTGTACCCCCAGATGGAGTGTGTAAGTCTCACCTGGAACCAGACTTTGTACCACCAGATGGAGTGTGTAAGTCTCACCTGGAACCAGACTTTGTACCACCAGATGTAGTGTGTAAGTCTCACCTGGAACCAGACTTTATACCCCCCAGATGTAGTGTGTAAGTCTCACCTAGAACCAGACTTTGTACCACCAGATGGAGTGTGTAAGTCTCACCTAGAACCAGACTTTGTACCCCCAGATGGAGTGTGTAAGTCTCACCTGGAACCAGACTTTGTACCACCAGATGGAGTGTGTAAGTCTCACCTAGAACCAGACTTTGTACCCCCAGATGGAGTGTGTAAGTCTCACCTGGAACCAGACTTTGTACCACCAGATGTAGTGTGTAAGTCTCACCTGGAACCAGACTTTGTACCACCAGATGTAGTGTGTAAGTCTCACCTAGAACCAGACTTTGTACCACCAGATGGAGTGTGTAAGTCTCACCTAGAACCAGACTTTGTACCACCAGATGTAGTGTGTAAGTCTCACCTAGAACCAGACTTTGTACCACCAGATGTAGTGTGTAAGTCTCACCTAGAACCAGACTTTGTACCCCCAGATGGAGTGTGTAAGTCTCACCTGGAACCAGACTTTGTACCACCAGATGGAGTGTGTAAGTCTCACCTGGAACCAGACTTTGTACCACCAGATGTAGTGTGTAAGTCTCACCTGGAACCAGACTTTATACCCCCCAGATGTAGTGTGTAAGTCTCACCTAGAACCAGACTTTGTACCACCAGATGGAGTGTGTAAGTCTCACCTAGAACCAGACTTTGTACCCCCAGATGGAGTGTGTAAGTCTCACCTGGAACCAGACTTTGTACCACCAGATGGAGTGTGTAAGTCTCACCTAGAACCAGACTTTGTACCCCCAGATGGAGTGTGTAAGTCCCACCTTGAACCAGACTTTGTACCACCAGATGGAGTGTGTAAGTCTCACCTGGAACCAGACTTTGTACCACCAGATGGAGTGTGTAAGTCTCACCTGGAACCAGACTTTATACCCCCAGATGTAGTGTGTAAGTCTCACCTAGAACCAGACTTTTTACCACCAGATGTAGTGTGTAAGTCTCACCTAGAACCAGACTTTGTACCACCAGATGTAGTGTGTAAGAATCACCTGGAACCAGACTTTCTGCCCCCAGATGTAGTGTGTAAGTCTCACCTAGAACCAGACTTTGTACCACCAGATGGAGTGTGTAAGTCTCACCTAGAACCAGACTTTGTACCCCCAGATGTAGTGTGTAAGTCTCACCTAGAACCAGACTTTGTACCACCAGATGTAGTGTGTAAGTCTCACCTTGAACCAGACTTTGTACCCCCAGATGTAGTGTGTAAGTCTCACCTAGAACCAGACTTTGTACCACCAGATGGAGTGTGTAAGTCTCACCTAGAACCAGACTTTGTACCCCCCAGATGTAGTGTGTAAGTCTCACCTTGAACCAGACTTTGTACCCCCAGATGTAGTGTGTAAGTCTCACCTAGAACCAGACTTTGTACCCCCCAGATGGAGTGTGTAAGTCTCACCTTGAACCAGACTTTGTACCCCCAGATGTAGTGTGTAAGTCTCACCTAGAACCAGACTTTGTACCACCAGATGGAGTGTGTAAGTCTCACCTAGAACCAGACTTTGTACCACCAGATGTAGTGTGTAAGTCTCACCTTGAACCAGACTTTGTACCCCCAGATGTAGTGTGTAAGTCTCACCTAGAACCAGACTTTGTACCCCCCAGATGGAGTGTGTAAGTCTCACCTAGAACCAGACTTTGTACCCCCCAGATGGAGTGTGTAAGTCTCACCTAGAACCAGACTTTGTACCCCCAGATGTAGTGTGTAAGTCTCACCTAGAACCAGACTTTGTACCACCAGATGGAGTGTGTAAGTCTCACCTAGAACCAGACTTTATACCCACCAGATGGAGTGTGTAAGAATCACCTAGAACCAGACTTTATACCCACCAGATGGAGTGTGTAAGAATCACCTGGAACCAGACTTTGTACCACCAGATGTAGTGTGTAAGTCTCACCTAGAACCAGACTTTGTACCCCCAGATGTAGTGTGTAAGTCTCACCTAGAACCAGACTTTGTACCACCAGATGTAGTGTGTAAGTCTCACCTAGAACCAGACTTTGTACCCACCAGATGGAGTGTGTAAGTCTCACCTGGAACCAGACTTTATACCCCCAGATGTAGTGTGTAAGTCTCACCTAGAACCAGACTTTGTACCCCCAGATGTAGTGTGTAAGTCTCACCTAGAACCAGACTTTGTACCACCAGATGTAGTGTGTAAGTCTCACCTAGAACCAGACTTTGTACCCCCAGATGTAGTGTGTAAGTCTCACCTGGAACCAGACTTTGTACCCCCAGATGTAGTGTGTAAGTCTCACCTGGAACCAGACTTTCTGCCCCCAGATGTAGTGTGTGGGCCACAGCGGTTTGAAGAACCTCGCCAGGACTATGCCAACGCTGGCGCAAGTCAACCAGGCGACCATCATCAGTGCCCCTGCAGCACGCAGACACACACACAGACACACACAGACACACACAGACACACACACAGACACACACAGACATACACACACAGACACACACACAGACACACACAGACACACACACACAGACACACACAGACACACACAGACACACACACACACACAGAGACGAGTGAGTGGGTGAGTGTGTGAGTGAGTGAGTGAGCGAGTGAGTGCGTGAGTCACTGAGTGAGTGAGTCACTGAGTGAGTCACTGAGTGAGTCACTGAGTGAGTGAGTCACTGAGTGAGTCACTGAGTGAGTTAGTCACTGAGTGAGTTGCTGAGTGAGTCGCTGAGTGAGTCACTGAGTGAGTCACTGAGTGAGTCACTGAGTCACTAAGTGAGTCACTGAGTGAGTGAGTCACTTAGTGAGTCACTGAGTGAGTCACTGAGTGAGTCATTGAGTGAATCACTGAGTGAGTGAGTCACTGAGTGAGTGACTGAGTGAGTCACTGAGTGAATCACTGAGTGAGTGAGTCACTGAGTGAGTAACTGAGTGAGTGACTGAGTGAGTCACTGAGTGAGTCACTGAGTGAGTGAGTCACTGAGTGAGTGAGTCACTGAGTGGGTCACTGAGTGAGTGAGTCACTGAGTGAGTGAGTCACTGAGTGAGTAACTGAGTGAGTGAGTCACTGAGTGAGTTAGTCACTGAGTGAGTTGCTGAGTGAGTCGCTGAGTGAGTCACTGAGTGAGTCACTGAGTGAGTCACTGAGTGAGTCATTAAGTGAGTCATTGAGTGAGCCACTGAGTGAGTGAGTCACTGAGTAAGTAACTGAGTGAGTTGCTGAGTGAGTCACTCAGTCACTGAGTGAGTGAGTCACTGAGTGAGTCACTGAATGAGTCACTGAGTGAGTGAGTCACTGAGTGAGTCACTGAGTGAGTCACTGAGTGAGTGATTCACTGAGTGAGTCACCGAGTGAGTCACTGAGTGAGTGAGTCACTGAGTGAGTCACTGAGTGAGTGAGTCACTGAGTGAGTGATTCACTGAGTGAGTGAGTCACTGAGTGAGCCACTGAGTGAGTGAGTCACTGAGTAAGTAACTGAGTGAGTTGCTGAGTGAGTCACTGAGTGAGTCACTGAGTGAGTGAGTCACTGAGTGAGTCACTGAGTGAGTCACTGAGTGAGTGAGTCACTGAGTGAGTGAGTCACTGAGTGAGTCACTGAGTGAGTGAGTCACTGAGTGAGTCACTGAGTGAGTCACTGAGTGAGTGAGTCACCGAGTGAGTCACCGAGTGAGTCACTGAGTGAGTGAGTCACTGAGTGAGTGAGTCACTGAGTGAGTGATTCACTGAGTGAGTGAGTCACCGAGTGAGTCACTGAGTGAGTGAGTCACTGAGTGAGTCACTGAGTGAGTCACTGAGTGAGTGAGTCACTGAGTGAGTGAGTCACCGAGTGAGTCACTGAGTGAGTCACTGAGTGAGTGATTCACTGAGTGAGTCACCGAGTGAGTCACTGAGTGAGTGAGTCACTGAGTGAGTCACTGAGTGAGTCACTGAGTGAGTGAGTCACTGAGTGAGTGAGTCACCGAGTGAGTCACTGAGTGAGTCACTGAGTGAGTGATTCACTGAGTGAGTCACTGAGTGAGTGAGTCACTGAGTGAGTGAGTCACTGAGTGAGTCACTGAGTGAGTCACTGAGTGAGTGATTCACTGAGTGAGTGAGTCACTGAGTGAATCACTGAGTGAGTGAGTTACTGAGTGAGTCACTGAGTGAGTGAGTCACTGAGTGAGTGAGTCACTGAGTGAGCGAGTCACTGAGTGAGCGAGTCACTGAGTGAGTGAGTCACTGAGTGAGTCACTGAGTGAGTCACTGAGTGAGTGATTCACTGAGTGAGTGAGTCACCGAGTGAGTCACTGAGTGAGTCACTGAGTGAGTCACTGAGTGAGTGGGTCACTGAGTGAGCGAGTCACTGAGTGAGTGAGTCACTGAGTGAGCGAGTCACTGAGTGAGTCACTGAGTGAGTCACTGAGTGAGTCACTGAGTGAGCGATTCACTGAGTGAGTCACCGAGTAAGTCACTGAGTGAGTGAGTCACTGAGTGAGTCACTGAGTGAGTGATTCACTGAGTGAGTCACCGAGTGAGTCACTGAGTGAGTGAGTCACTGCCCTCACCGTGTGCCTTGATGATGGTCGGTGACCGTGAGCCGGGCACCTCCGTGGGTGTCCCCGTTAGGCGCACAGCGACCCTGGATACCAGCGGCTGCTGTTCGTGTTTCAGCATCAGCCCTGCGAGAGGGGCGTGGAGGGGGTGCAGCACGTGGCACACTCAGGGTGTGGCTGTGGGTGAGTAGCTATGAGTGAGTAGCTATGAGCCGTGTGTAGGTCTATGCAGTTGTGTGTAGGTGTGTGTAGCTATGAACTGTGTGTAGTTGTGTGTGTAGCTGTGTGTGTAGCTATGAGCTGTGTGAGGCTGTGTGTGTAGCTGTTGTGTAGCTGTGTGTGTAGATGTGTGGGGAGCAATAGTGTAGCAGTTAGTGCTACGCTGCGCTATGAACCTGGCGACCCGGGTTCGATTCCCGCTCACGGCCAACACCAGTGACGATTATCTGAACCGGTCCCGGGCCTCCCCTAGGTCGACTCAGCCTCAAATGAGTACCTGGTGCGGTGTGTAAACATTGCCACTAGGGAGACAAAGGCGGTCGGGCGTGGTGCTGGCCACCCACCACCTCGTGTACCGTTCCGGCCTTCATAGGTGCACGCTAACAACACTTGCCCCTACAGTCTGTTAAGGCTATATGGGGGATCTTTGTATTTGTCTTTGTAGCAAAACAACCCCCTACCTCCTCGCGGTGCCGGGCAGGCAACTCTGTCGTGGACAGGGCTGTGGGGGGAGGGCCAATTCCGATTGGCCCCTCCTCTCATGGCGTCTGTGACCACCACAGTGGCTAAACGGGGGCTCTGGACGGGTGCGAGGGGCTGGTAACCCCTCCACCTTCAACAATTTTACCACGAAACCACGAATAAAACACATGACTAATAAGCTTGTGCCGGAGGCCCCGGGGGGACAGGCGTCTATGACGTCTCCTGGCCAAACCCCAATTGGCGGAGCCAGGAGATTGAATCTCTACCCTCGGGGCTCCTCCAGAAACAACGAAAAGCCACTACGGATGGCCACGTGGAATGTTCGAACGCTCACTGCGGAGGAGATACTGCCACTCCTCTGTCGGCAGCTAGACCGGTACCGCCTGGATCTCTGTGGCATTCAGGAGGTCCGGTGGACCGGTTCTGGATCCTGCCACCATGAGGGGTGGACAGTCCTCTACTCGGGGCAGCAGACTGCCAAACAACAGGGTGTGGCTCTTCTTTTGAACAAAATAATGAAGGGGGCATGGGAGCGTGGCGGTGAGGTGTGGGAAGCTGTAAGCCCCAGGCTACTTTGGGCTCGCCTTCTCATCAACCGGAGGCGAGGAATGGTGGTCGTGGTTACCTATGCCCCCACTGAAGACGAACATCCATGGAGGGATGCAGGCAAAGCCGATGAGTGAGATGCCTTCTATGACCTCCTGTCATAGGTGCTGGCTAAAGTGGCCCCTCGGGATAGAGTCATCTTGTTGGGTGACTTCAATGCCCGAGTTGGTCATGATGCTGGTACCTGGTCTGGAGTGATTGGAGGGCATGGGCCAGATCAGCTCAATAACAAAGGTAGGAGGCTGCTAGATTTTTGTGCAACCCATGGGCTTGTAATTACCAACACGCTGTTCCGGCATCGGCGCATCCACAAAACAACATGGATGCATGCCGGGTCCAAGCAAGAACATCTGCTGGACTACATAGTGACGGACCAGCGGGTGCGAGCCCATGTCCTTGACACCAGGACCTACCGTGGAGCTGATCTGCCCTCTGACCATCGACTAGTCATCTGTAAGATGCGCCTGCCATTCTTCCACTCCGGTGGTGGGTGTACACCCAGGACCCCATTCCAACCTAAAGTGGCCTGGTCTCAGTTATCTGATGAAAGTTGCAAACGAGAATTTCATCATCGCTTGCGGCTGGGATTGGCATCGTCCCCGACTCCTCCTGATGTCGAGGGTAAATGGGCGAGGTTTAGGACTGTGATTCATGCAGCTGCAATGCCTGCTTTGGGTACGTGGTCCAGACCTCCCCAGAGACCTTGGCTGACAGAGGAGGTGTTCAGGATGGTTGAGAAAAAGCGACAGGCCCACTGTCATCGGCTACAGAATCCCACGTCAGAGAATGAGGAGGCTTACTGCAGCCTTCGCTCGGAGGTTCGGAGAGCCGTGAGGCGCTGCAAGGATGGGTGGTGGTCGCGGGTTGCTGAGGAGATGGAGTCTGCCTCAGTGGCCCGTGATCACAAATCTCTATTTAACTCCATCAAAAAAGTAACCTGCAGCGCCACACCTATTACCATCAGGGGAAAAACGGTGAACCAATCTCCGACCCCCAGGAACAGGTTTGCAGATTTGCTGAGCATTTCTGGGAGGTCCTGGGGGAGGGAAAATCCCTCAGCCAGGAAAACATCATGGCACAAACTAAGGATGACCCTGCTGAGGCTGCGGTGCCTCAAATATTGGAAGAAGTCACCCCCTGTGAGTGGCTAGCTGAGGTGCCATCTGTTGAGGAAGTACTGAAGGCGATCCGGAGTCTGAGACCAGGAAAGGCAGCGGGCAGAGATGATCTCCCAAGCGAAATGCTGAGGGAGGGCGGCATTTGTGCACAGACTGCCCTATATGACATCATAACAACAGTCTGGACCACTGGACGGGTTCCGCAGGATTGGAAGGATGCCCTGGTGGTCCCTCTTTTTAAGAAGGGGGACCGCACAGACTGTAACAACTACAGGGGCATCTCACTCCTCAGTGTGCCGGGAAAGGTCCTGGCAAGGATTATTCAACATCGCCTTGCCAGACACGCTGAGGAGAGGCTTGCGGAGCCCCAATGCGGTTTCAGGAAAGGGCGGTCCTGCACAGATGCCATATTTTCTCTCCGTCTGCTACAGCAGAGGTGTAGGGAATTCCAACAAGACCTACATCTCTGCTTTATTGACCTGGTCAAGGCCTATGATACCATCAGTAGGCCTGGGCTCTGGGTTGTTCTTCGTGCTTTTGGAGTACCTGACCCTCACGATCATTAAGGACCTTCATGATGGTGAGCGGGCCCGGGTAAAACTACGTGGCCGGGAGTCAGAGCCATTCCCTGTTAACTTTGGGGTGCGACAGAGATGTCCTCTGGCTCCCACATTATTTAACATC